AGAAAAAAAAAAGAATAAAAGCTGGTTTTCTCTGCATAAAGCTCAAGACAGAATGCCTGTAAGCACTGTATGTCTTCTATTACTTATACCTATTTCAGAACAGTTTTGATGAATGATTTAAGTTTTTCACATGTCACACTAAATATGTCTAAATTTCAATGCAGTACATAGGGTAGCTACTCTAAAAGGAAAATTATCGAAGGAAAATGAGGTTACTTTATTTGGGCAGTCTGTTTGAAGTTATATATTTTGATTTTTGGCCCAAATTAAAACCAGCATACTTGTCATCAACAGAATTTCATGTAACAAAGTGTACATGCTACAGTACTATTTCATTAAAAAATGCATTTTATTTATTGCCTTTTTTAAAAAGCAGAGGTGATCCAGAAGTAGAGATGTACTTTTTCACCAATATTAAAATCGGCAAAAAATACAGTATTTAAATATCCCTTTTATTTATTCCCTGAAAACTTCTACTGTGCCAAAGCTGAATTATTGAATTTTCTCATTTCAGAAATAGTCTTTGCATAAAATAATGAACAGCATTTGAATCTCTAAATCACAAGCTTATTTCCAATTGTTGATGATGAAAAGAAGTACAGGCTTTTATAAGACCTGTTTTTTAATGAACAGATTGGTACATGGTGTACTACTTCATTTAAAAAAAAAAGGAAAAAAAAGACTGTTTCTAATATTGTATGCACTATTGTAATGTTTTGATCTAGTTGTGCTAGGTTATTTAGGGGCACAAAGTAAATGTGAAGTGCTTTGTTTTCTCTTGAACTTCCAAGTGATTACTGTGCTCTGTCTGTTGTGAGTGGCAGTTCTAATGGCCATGTACGCTGTAAAAGTATAAGGGATCATTAGAAAATGCAAGAAAAAAGCACATAACTTAAGTAAGATCAGTGTACAAATCAACTTCAGATTTAAAGAGAGTTTTAGCGTAGGCTTTGCTAAGCCATTAAAATTCATTTTGAGTCCTCCCTCCATGCCTCCTATTGATTTGACTTCGCTAACACAAAAAGAAGTGGTCAATTTTTTTTTAAAAAAACCCTAAACCAAAAATTGTTTTTCACTTCTCAGCTCCTCAGCTTTTTCCTCCCCGCTCTCCCCCTTCTCCCCCAGACATACAGTGCTGTAATGCCCTGGGACTACCCCCCAGTTACCACTTGCCCTCCTGTTACCGCTGCTGTGGTTGTGTCCAGCTAAATATTCGCTGCACATGGACACAAGGAATCTTACCCTGCGTGAGCAGTGAGTCCAAAATTTATTACTCACACGTAAGTTTGCGGCACACGAGATATATGTCTGCGCATCAGCAGCAAATACACCATGTCCCATTTATTGCTTTAGATTCACTGTCCGTGGAAGCTCTAGATCAGCTGAGACTATAAACCTTTGAAACTTGCCCAACCCTTTTGACGTCGTAAAATACCTTATTCAGAAATTTAGTTGAGTGCTTAATAGGTAGTTAAAACAATGATAGATGAGAAAACCAGCTGAAGTTAATTGTTAGTGGTCGCACTACTCTATAGTATAAGTGGGTCAATATGAGCAGTCTTAGTGAAATCCTTTGAACAAAAGAAATTATTAAATCAATTAGTATTTAGGTCAATTGCTCAAAATAAACCATTCATACAGTGCCCTTGAGACAGGCAAGTCAAAGAGCATCAGGAATTTTAAAACTCTAAGTGAATCTCACAGTTATTCTCACTTAATCAAAGCTATCACATTTTACCTTTCCAGGAATATGTTATATAAAGATTTGACTGTCTGACAGGGAAGGTGTTTAGCAATGAATTGAAACAGTATTTCATCTATTTAAGATAAGTATGAGAAAAATGTGCAACAAGTTTTCTAGGAGTGTGTTACAACTTCATTGTATTTTAAGCCATGTGTGGTGATACTGTTGTCAGAATTTTGGGTGGTTTGTTGACGATGCTATGGAACTGCTTTTTGCCCCACTGTTTTGTTCATAGATGAGGATAAGAGAAGAATCAATGAGAATATTTTGTTGCACTTAGGTAGATATATTTACTTTCAGATGGTTGGGATTTGTCCTTGAATAATAGAAAAATCAGAAAAAAAATTCTGAAGTTCTGTAATAAATATGAGCATAGCATTGAATAAAAGCTCCAATTAAATTGGGTTTTTTAACTTATCTGTAATACATCTCTTAAAATTTATTAAAGTTCAAGAAAATTTTAATAGTAGAGTATTATAAAGACCAAGTTATTCACCAAATTATTATGACGTTTGAGTCTTGTAACAAGATTTTACTCAAGAAAGGTCAAAGTAAAGCTGTTTGGGACATATTTATCTTATTTCTGCATTTATTTTCTTGTGTTAACCTGTTGAACTTGTCATGGTAACGACAGTGCAGGCGTTGCACCTTGCCTTCTGCACGAGTGACTGAGGAATATTTCTTGGTGTTATCAACAGCAGAGCATTGTCTTACCATTTCCTTTTATTTTTGTATTTGCAGGGTAATTGCACAAAACTCTACAAAAGAATGTTTATTGAGGGAACGATTTCAAAAAGTCTTGTCTGCCTGAGAAGATGCTTTAATAAGCTAATATCATGGAAGTACTCAGAAGCTCTATCTCAGACATAGTAAATCCTTCTTTTAATTATAGTAACAAGGAATTAAATGTTCTTTCAGGAAAAATAGAAATCAGGCCAGACAGCTTAAAGTTTAGCAATCACAAAAACATAAAGCTGTTTGTTCTTCTGAACCGATAGACAATACCTTCATATGGAATAATAGGCTTTTGTATTGAACAGAAGCGTGAAGACATCTAGAGAGTAATTGGCAGGTTTTGCTCAATACTGTACTGTGTTCATCTGTTTCTGTGTTTTATAATTGTGATATATTGATATCTGAATTTGATGAGATAGTATTGAACTGGTATCAGAGCCAGACATTGTTAATCTAAACAATCATACATCTCAAACTTCAAGCAAGTATTTGTGCCACCAGTGTTAACATGCTTTACAGTTAACATGCTTTACCATTTAATAAATATTACAAGAGCAAAGAATTGAACTGAATGCTTCAGGTACAGAGAAGTCATCTTAGCCGATAGACATTCAGAGAGGTGAGAAACGGGAGCGTAGATTGAGTCTTCCTTTCTCTTTAATATAAAATTCTAAAAACTCACCCTCCCAGTTTTAAGTGCTGAATGTCTTCTGATTTTGTTTTGGCTTTTCTCTGTGTGTTGTTTTTGTGGGGTTTTTTTCCCCTCTGAAATGTACTACCAGAGTTAAAAATAAGAGAAAAAAGTAAGCATGTTTACACGTTTTATTGCTCACAGATTGCTGAGTACCTGTGGGTGGCTTAAAGCAGCTGTTTCTCCTCGTTACCTAACTTTCTTCTTTAAAATAGAGAAAGAAAAAAAAAAAACACACAAGAAGTCTAAATGTCAGAGTCTAAATGAAGCCAAGAAACCTTTCCTTAAGTTCACTAGCTCCTCTGGCCAAGTACACTTATTATCTCCAAGGGACATAACCTGCTCCAGCCAAAAAGCACTGATTTAGCCAATACTTAGGCCAGTGTTAGGCCCTCCTGTCCTACGGGTGCAAACAACTACAGCAGTGAAACGCGTGGCTGCCTTCTGGGGTTTTTATCATCTTTCAGTGGGGTTTGTTACTTTGGTGGCAGAGGTGGCAGAAGGAATCATCCTGCTGAAGGGCTTTGATAGTTTAAGTACAGCCTCTGGCCTGGGCTGGGTGTAGGTGGCTTGCAGGCCCTGCTGCTCTTCTTCTGGGTGGGCTCTCCAGTAGGCACCTCAACTGAGAGGGGACAAGGGGAAAGAAATGTTTTTAACTGTTGCAGGCAAATTTGCCAAACCCTTTTCTTCACCTCCTTAGCCATGTATAGAAAAGCAGAGGTTTTGTTCCAATTTTTGCTTGTTGCAAATCTGAGTATTTTTTTTGTGTGGGGGAAGATTTCAATTCCAGCAAAACGTTTTGCCATGAGGATTTCTCAGGACTAGTAGAGACCTGGGCATGGGATGCCATGAGACATACATACAAATGCCAACTCAAAATAATTAGGACCCCAGTGGTTAGGTGTTCATGCTTAGTTTCTTTTTTGCTCTCTACAGTATCTTTCATTTTGCAGTTTATGCATGCTAACTATGCATATGTTAAAGTATATATGCTACAGTAAGGGTGTCCTAATTAAGTAGACTGTAAGAATCTATCTCTTTCTGATCCAGTGGGCAAGAAGATATTTACACAATTTTGAAGAGCTCCAACTTCCGAGTTGGATAAACCGGTCATCTTGAGGGATTGTGAAGGAGAGCATCTAGTCATGTTCTCTGGAGCACAAGAGCAGCCCATTCCCAAAGTGTGCTCAGAGAATCATAAAAATGCAGAAATGTCGAGGCTGGAAAGGAGCTCTGGAGATACCTGGTGCAACCTTCTGTTGAGAACAGGGCCTTGGATTATGGTAGCCAGGGGTAATAAAATCAGTTGCTGCTGCTTATGAACACATTGTTAAAGGATAACGTACACCTCTGTAATGCATTAATGCTGAGTAGGAATAATCTCCTCTGTGCAACTCTCCTGCATGCTTCCTTCTTAATTGCAAGCCCTCCTGCAGGAAGAATGGAAATAATTAAAGCTGGTTTGAGTCTGCTTTTCTTTGTACTGTTGCATAACGGGAACAAATACTGTTCTGTCAGTTCCGTGTTGTTATCAGTCCTCATTCAAAATCAAAAGATTAACAGTGGTTTTGTTTTATCATTATTTTTTAAGCTCTTCAATGAGATGATAATTTAGATAGAATGCAATTCTCTTACGGTGTTTGATTTTCTCCCCCCACCCGTCCCCCCATTCAGGTCAATTATTTCAATTTCTAAGGGTGGATCATGTGGCTCTTCTCTTTCTTCTTGAACTGTGCCACGTTGTTCCTCAAGGAGAAGTCAGGGAAAGGAATAAACCAAAAGGTTAGTAGCAACATTGCTCATTCTTTTGTTATCCTTTCCTGGTTTTAGGTGACAGTGACTGACCTCAAATATAAGAGTGGCTTTTCTGAAAACGACCTACCTGACTCAGAATAATGGATATAAAAGACAGAAGACACCGTTCTCTGACGAGGGGCCGGTGTGGCAAGGAATGTCGCTATACGAGTTCTTCACTGGACAGTGAGGACTGCAGAGTACCCACTCAGAAGTCGTACAGCTCCAGTGAGACCCTGAAGGCCTATGATCATGACACCAGGATGCACTATGGAAATCGAGTTTCTGACCTGGTTCACAGGGAGTCGGATGAGTTTCCCAGACAAGGTATGTTTAAAGTCAGAACTTTATTTTGCACTAATCCTTGGTAGGCAATCTCTGCTGCTTGTTAAAGTATACCAGGAGTTACAAGGAGTTTTAATGAAGGAGCTGTAAGAGAATGGATGCCATTTTACCATCCTTTCAACTGTTTTTTCTTGAATTAGGAAGTTCTTTCTCTTCTCAGATTTCTGCTGCTGTTGAAATTCACTGTTTGTAAATGAAGCAAACCAAGATACACACTGTTCAAAACATTTGATAAGCAAATGCCTAGTGACCCATAACCAGCTGTTGTGCTTGTCACAGATCTCACAGTCGGCCAATATGCAAACTTTGTATTCCATTTCCTAGGTTCATTTTAGAAATGATAATGGCATTTTCACCTAAACTTGTCATTCTTTAACAGAGTACCTGTGCTGAAAAGATAATTTAAATGCTGTTATAGTAAACCCCATATGGCCAATGGATATTCATTAATACTCAGGTGCTTCAAAATTCCTTTCCTGTTCTTAACTGCTGTGTAATTGAAATGTGGGAATGCTATTTCCTCTGGTGTCATTTTGTCACTGGTTACCCTTCACCTCATAGAAAACTGGAAGGCGGAAACCCATCTAATTACTTTTATAATTGGCCATAATATGTTATCACAGCATCAATATCTTAGAACTAACACATGAAATAAACTATCTGTGTGAACTTGTAAGTAAGGTGAAGTAATCTCTTCTTTTATAGACTCTCCCTAGCTTTAAATACCTGCTATGTCCAATGAATTAACAGTCTAAATGTTTTTTGTTGAAAAACTGAATTATACCTTTGTGCTGTACACACATAGTTTTGCTCTCATTCAGGTATTTACTTGTCTCAATAAATCAGAAGTCTGAGTGTTGAAACCATTCATGAACATGGCTTCATCAGAACAGTCTTAATCATCTGGTTAACGTGACCAGATAGCCTGATTAAATTGCCGCTCAGTCAACAAGTAGATATGTTTTTTAAAATAAATTATTTGGTTTAGTTTCAGTTGAAGAATCATACATGGTTTATATCAAGCAAGGTATAGGCATAAATGTGTAGCCCTTTGTGCCCCTCTCAATGGAATTTAAAATATCTAGTATGTCTTTAATTACCGAAACTCTCCTATTTTTATATTTGTGCTTGGCATATGATAGTTCTCTACTACACATTCTCTACTACACATTTCTAATGTTGTGACTCAAAAAATTCTAAGTTATCACACTTTTCTGTGGAGATCATTCAATGAGAGGGTTTTTTTTTTTTATGCTTGATATCATGTCATGCAACTTGTTTAAAGCATTTTGCTGGCAGTCACTGTCTGTCTTCACCTTTAAATCAAAATATCTATTAATTAGCATCTCTAATTAAACCCTCATCTAATCCCTTGTTTCTCTCGCATTTGTGTATATACATTTGGAAGTGTTTGCACTGCGCTTGGTCTATCAAACACCCAGTTCTATTTTCTGAAGTAATCTCTGTTCTTGTAGGGTCTTTCTTTGCTTATAGGTATTTACCCAGAGATAACGCATCAGACTGCAGCTACATCATATGAGCTACTGGAGCCATTTTCACTGTGGTTTGTTCAGCTTTTGTGTACAGGAGTCATCTAAATATTACTTTTCCCTATCTGGGTGATTGATGCTTCAGCTCAAGTGCCTCATTTTAGTTTCCAGGCCATTATTTGGCATTTCATGAGGGTCTTCTTTTTCTCTTGATTACTGATTTGACAACTGCTCATCCTCCTCCTGCTCTTAATGTCTTCTTATCTGCCCTCTTTATGAAGGGGAGTGCAAATTGTTGGTAACTGAATTGAAATGCTCAGCTGCTTTTTTTTTTATTCCCCCCTGCTAGTCTGTGTTGTTATGTCTAGATGAATAAAGGTTATTTTAGAGGGCCAAAGTAAGGTTTTTTTATTAAATAGTATGAACATTAATTCCTTATTTTTCCTGCTTTTGTTAAGTTTAGAATGCAAATTTCTTTAGGAAGTAAGACTGTATGATGATTCATTGTATTTAAAAGCTTGATATTTTCTGATTGTACAGTTCCTCTACTGACATGAAATTTGACGTAATGTGGCCAGTAGATCTAGTTTAAGACTTGGTACATGTTGCCACTTTCTACATTAATACTAAATGGATACAAATTTGGTTCATATAGCAGGAAATACTGTTCATTACGTCTTGAGCATGCGGTTTCCAGCTGCAGACATCTAGGAATTTATACATGTAAATTTATTCTAAATTTGAGTGGGTGTTTTGATGGGATTAAATTCTGTAGGAAATAAACATGCTTAAAATAAATAGTCTTTAGAGAATTTTTTTTATTCTTCTATTATAAAAAAGCTTCACATATTTTTTTAAGCAATTGTAGATATTTTCCTCAATATTTTGTCTCTTCTGTTAGTAAAACTATATGCAATTGACTTCTTGAAAAATATCTGGTTTAACCATGGCCCTGGAAGTGCTCCAAGTCGTTGTTTTTAGCTGCTGCTTCATCATACATTACTCGATTTTGAAAATCTGTTAAGCGTAAGACCAAGTTGTACTACTTCCATTTTTGTTTATGATGGTTCAACAGTGAAACGCTAATAACAAAAACAATATTCAGAGCTCAGAAGTCTGAAACAGATCTTCTTGGTTTGCTTTAGTATTTTATTGTTCTCCTTTTCTGACTTGTTTGTCTCATTCTTCAAGAAAAAGCACATCTCCGACGTATAAATGTGGCTCTAAGCTAGTGTGAATAAAGCATTTGATAGGAAAATTGAATGTTGGTGGAAGTTTAGCTCTGAGAATACAACTTAAAAACTTTGTCACTGTTTGCATGTTTTGAAATAAGCTTTTTGTGCTCATCATTGACAAATGCGCCTACCAAAAAAGTTCCTTTTTGTTGTAGATGCTACTTTCTGGTGTGGCATTTGGCAGTTTTGGTATAAAGGCATGAATGATGACGTGACTGTATATTACCCGAAGCACCTTTGTCTGGCATTACTTCACTATACTTTTCCTAAGGTGTTTACCTGTAGTATTTCTAAGTAATAAAATTCCCCTTTTAAAGTCTGTTTTTAACATATCAGTAATAATATTTGTACAAAGAAATTCAGAATAGGTTTAGTATTTTTGTGTCAAGTTTATTTTCTGATCATCTTCCAAACCAGGTGTTCAGATTCTTGGCTGGAATGACAGGTCCAATGCATGCTTGAGGTATTATTTTGTCTTAGATTTTCCCTACCATAGATAGAAATGTATTTGTAATTCAGTACCTGCACTGGATATTCATTATTCAATCAATCTGAAAAATACAGTTCTTCAGTGGATCTGAGTGAGCACTCAAACATTACAAGATTTATTTAAAGTTGAGGAGTGGTTTTTGAATACTGTATTTTAAGATGAATAGAAACTTTTCTGCTAGGATATGCCAAAAGCTTAAAATAGCTCTGACACCTCTGAACATTTGGAATATTTTACAATCCTGTGGTAATATGTGACTTTCTCTATATGCTATGTATTTTTTCCACCAAAGAGAACCAATTAACAAAATTTATCTTTTTTTTTAAAAAAAGGACAAAAAACCCCACCTCTTTTCTGACTTCATCTGCTGACCTGGTATGGTGATGGTAGATGTCCTTAGAGGCAAAAATTTAGGATCTTGGAAAAATTTTCTTTAAAGAGGTTGCTTTGAAAGGCAGCTTTTCTTCAAGTAAACTTTGTAACCAGATTCCGCTCAAAAGAACACTCTGCTGAGCTGTTAGAGTTTGAAACTGGGTTTCAAAGAGATGGTTCAAACCTTGCTATTCCAGAGTTCCTCACTTGCCATTCATAGCTCGTGGATTTTGTATTTCTGCCTGAGCCAAATGCCAGGCTTCAGCTGATGCAAAATTTATTAGCCAATAGTTAGAGGGAATTGACTGCTTTCTCATTCTCGGGTCAGATCTAGTTTAGCAGTAAGTCTCTGCTTTGAAATGTTAGAACAACTAAAACATATGATTGAAGTTATTAAAAATAAGTCTAAAAATCACAATCATATTAAACTGGACCTAACAGTTTTCTAAAATATTTTGATTGTTTTTACCACAAATTGCTTTTATATGTCACAGCATCTCTTTTTGTGTGGCAAGGTGATTGCAGTAAAGAACAGCAGCCAATATTTCTCTGTATGTCAGCTCAAATTCCTTTTTATTCTTTTCTACTTAAAAATGTGCTTTTTGTATCCTGTTTAACACTACAGGTCTGTTAACAGGAGTGAGAAAAGAGTAGTGACAATGATTATAATAAATCCCTTATAGTGTCCCCGAAGATTGACCAATATTTTTATAAACATCAAATAGAAAATTAAGTTATTGCAGAAGAATTCTCAGGGAGAGGCACTTGGGAAGTGTAATGCACTCAGTTTTCTTTCCCATGGAGTTGTGTTACTGTGCCGTACGACTTGTCATCTCTGGGGTATTCTGTACTGCATCTTTTCCCCCTATATATTGAATACGTTTCTTGAAGAAAAAAGAAAAATAGCAATTAAAAAAAATGCCAAAACCAAACAAAAAGCCAAAACCCCAAACTCACAGCAACCCAAACCAATTTGATGAATCAACTTTTTGTTTTTTACAGCCTACTCTAGGGCAGCTCTGATGGGTGAGGAAAACAAATGTTGCTTTCTCTTCTTATTCTTCTTCACATCATGAATCTGTCATCAAATAATTTACTGGGACACATTTGAAGACCCTCACTGCGGTCATAACATTTCATGAGAGTCATTAGGCTTCTTCAGATTTCAAGTTCTTGTGGTCGGGTGCTGTGTGTTGAGCACCACCTGCCGTGCTGCTGTTCAGAGGGGAGAGCTGCTGTTGCAGGTGTGCTTTGTCCCTGCTTGTATTCCTGGTAACACCAAGATGAGATTTTGGTCGTCTTTCATCAAACTCGAGTCGTACTCAACTTTTAGGCTCAATTGAGTGTACCCCTTCCCAATCCAACTGAGTTTGATTTACGTTTTAATATTTCTTT